GAAGGCCCTCCCCCTTGGGGTCGCCAGCCGGCACTGTCTGGCTGACGGCACCCTGAGGAGACCCACCCTGTGGGAGCGTACAGAGAGACTGAGTGCCCAAACTGCAATCCAAAACCCACTTATGTATTGCCGAGTGCCAGGTAGGTGTGGTCCACTCGGCGGGTGCAGCTACAGTGGGCTTGGCAGACTGGGTGGGCGTGGCCACTGGATGGGTGTGGCTGCAGTAGTAATGGCAGATTGGGTGGGCATGGCCGGGGTGGGCGTGGCCACCTTGATGTTGCTTATGGGGAGGGACACCTATGGGAGCCAGGCAGGGTTGGGGGAGATCCAGGGGGTCTCTGGTGGGTGGGATGGTGGGCTTCCCAATGGCGGCTCTAGGCTGGCTGGCTTTAGGCCAGTGATGGCGAACTTTTAGAGACCACGTGTGCTGGGGCGATGGCGTGTGTCCACAGAGAGGGCTCCTCTGGCACGTGTGCCATAGGTTCGCCATCACTGGTCTAGATTTTTGCACCCTATATAACCCTATTTATCTATAAATGTTTTTTGTTGGCTTTCCACTTTAGTCCATAGCCCTGGTACTATAGACCCATTCCTGGGCTAACCAGGATGAATCATGCTTAGCCCAGAGAAGACTTGCTTGATGTTGCTCTATGCTGGCTTCTATTTGATCTGGAAATTATACTTCAAAATAACAACCAAAGATTCCTTCTTCTGCTGTACTTCATTTATCTTTCTAGCCACTGACTTGTCTGTGGCAATGTTTCACAGCAATTGGAGAGGAGATGCTCCACAGAAATCTTAGTAGCCACCTGTTTGAAGGGAAAAACTTTGTGTCTAAAAGGGAAAATGGTTTTTATATTGTTTTAATTCTTAACTCAATTGAGCCACCCAGAGTTTGACATAAACTCGGCAGCTACATAAATAATCAAATAAATAAATCATGCTATATGATTTGAAGAATGCCATAGCTACCTTTGTTTACAAGAAACAATATCAATGCTTTATAAAGGTGATTTATGATTTTGTGGCACAAATGACAAATCCTTGTGACAGCTGAAGTAGCACAGTAGTCAAGAGGCTGAGTATGAAAAAAGAAGTGCTTGAGATTTTGACATTTGCCTCTCTCTGAATCTCTGTGAAATTCACTTGATTCCCTCCTATTTATTCCCTGTAACCAAGAGCAGTTCCAGAGTTGTTAGACTCCACAGTGTGTTTCCCTTCCTATATTGCAGCCCCCTTCAATTTGGCAGCATTGTCTGCTCACTATGCAGTGCAGCAGGAGTTTCTGTTGTTGCTTTCTGTTGTTGCTACTGCATTAAATGGAAAATAGCTACTTCTGTAGCCAGCACGTGCTGCCTGTGGTTAGTATTCATTATCTTAATTCTGGGCACTATATTAATTCAGATGGGGAAAAAAAGGTGATTCTGAGAGGAGTGCAAGGATCAAGAAGCCGTAGCTACCAATGTAGATGATCATTGGGGTGATTATGATGTTATGCTACCAAATATAGCATGCAATCTTTGGATGCGCATTTCAGAAAAAAAATCCCTTGTTTAAAGGAATATTATGATTTTTCTTTCTTTCTGAGATTACAAACTGTAGGTCTTAAATGTAACCTGCCTAAAAGTTAGAGGAAAGTTGTATAATGATGTTACATTCTCATTTGGGGGCAGATTTGCATGATTGAACAGACATACTCGTACAAATCAATCAAGAAATAAGAACTGGGACATTATTGAAACAGTTTTATTTTGTTAAGTCTGGAAGCAAATCTGAATTATAGTCTGTACTCGAACAAAAATAAATTCTTAATAGGTTGTGGGAATGCAGCAGACTTGATATATCTAGATTTCAGCCTAGTGTTTGACAAATTATCTGATGACATTCTGATTAGCAAGTTAAGTATCAGCTATATAAAATGTAATTAATGAAATATGGAAAAAATGAACATGAAATTCAACAGAGACCATTTTCTTATTCACATAGGAAATAAAATTCAAACATGAGGTAGAGATTGGAAGATACCTGGTATTGTAATATATTTAAACAAAAGATCTTGAAATAGTACTGATTATAAACTGAATCTGATTTAGAAGTGTGATGTAGCTGCAAAAAAGCAAACATATTTTTAGGCTGCATTCAACTGAAGTACAGTCTCCAAATCACAAATTCCACTTTGTTCTGCTACACCCTATAGTATATCTAGTTGAGGGGCCTATTTTTAGGAACGAGGAACACAAACAGTTCAGAAAAGGACAAAAAGGATGCTCAAGAAAAGGGAAGTCAAATTCTACGAAGAGAGATTCAAAAAGATGGGTATTACTGATCTTTAGAAGAGGAGATTGAAGAATACTATCATATCAATCATTTCTAAAATGATGTCACACACCATTGCGTGTTCTGAGACTGCAGAACTTGGAATAATGGATTTAAGATAAAGAAGACAGATTCTGATTGAATGCTAGAAATATATCCTTAAAAAAATGATAGAGAAAGCACTTACCGAGAGTAATGGTAGTCACCTTCACTGGATCTGAGCTAGTAGAAACAAGACACCAGCTGTCAAGGATGATTTAGTTTAAATTGCTGCACTAAGCATGAAATTGAACTCTCAATTGAGATATAAAAAAAGAAAGACTTAGAGATAATCAGGACTTTTTTTCTCATAGAACACCCAGAACGGAGTTCCGGCACCTTTTTGGGATGGAACCTTGTAGGGTAGGCAAGGGAGGTTGTATGACGTGTGTGAGTTCCGGCACCTTTAAAAAAAAAAAAGCACTGGAGATAATATAATATCATCTTATTCAAATATCCAAAAGGATGTCACTCAAATGAAAGTCAAGAGCTATCCTCAATTGTTTGAGGGCAGAACAGACTGGATTTAACTTGGAAAAGCAGATTCCGACTCAATGTTAAAAAATATTGTTAACATTAAGAACAATTGGACAATCACGTATCCAGAAAGCTCTGGGCCTCCTTATCATATATGTACAAATGAAGATCAAATAATCATTTGTTGGGAATAGTTTAATTTAGATTTCTGTATTGAGCCAAGGCTGGATTCCTTAGCTTAAACTGTCTCTTCTAAACCCATAATTTCTGATTTGTAGCCAAGATGGGGTTCAGTTTCCAGCTTCATGTGAAGACTGATGATCAATGACAGAAAGATTGTGCTTGGTCTTTGTGAAACAATTTGACTTCTTGTGCAGCAAATTCCATGTTTCTAGATGTAGCCAGGAGGAAATAAATGTAGGTCACTTGAATGCAAGGGATCCCAAAGTAGGCTCCATAGTTAATACTATGATCACCTTTTTGCACACACTGTCAAGAGCAAAGGTCTCAAATTCACAGTTTGTGTACTATAGGCAATCCTTCACGTCATTTTCTGTAGTCTACCTAAATCCAAACTTGCCTACAAGGCCGAGTGAAGTGATATCCAAAAAGGCTGCACCACCTATTGTTGTCTGGTGAGCTGTGAGGATTGTTCTGCTGACATTGAGCTGTTTGGTCCATATCCCAACTCTGAATTCCTTTAATGAAGCTAAATGGAAAGAGATTTAAAAAATAGCATTTATAAATTACAGGAACAGTTTGTTATACATACAGTACTGAAGGGGTTTCAGATCCTTGAACAATCTTTTCAGCTTTTTTCCACCCCGTTTGCTACAGAACCTGACAAGAGTTGCAGAAGAAATACGAGTGGAGTTCATGGAAGTTCATTGTGACACCATTTTGAAGCAGAAAAAAAAGTGTAATTTTTATTTAACAAATTTATGTTAATGGCATATTATTTTTCTTTATTCTTGACTTACTATTAATGGATTAAAAAGGTTTAGTGTTGAAGCACCTGGAACAATTTGAATCTGACATGCCAATCAAACCAAATTAATCAAATAAACCTTTTAAAGGGCTGCCCTAAAAAAAAAAAAAAGAGAGAGCTCAGATTGCCAATTTATATGTGTTGCTGCCCCTGCTATGCAAGTGACATCACTATTTTTGCTTTTCATCCAGAAGGGTTTTAGATACACCGAGCAAGATTTTTTTCCCCACCTGTGTTGAGTAAAGCAAGAATCACCATCATTTATCTGTTCTTTATGCTGCTAAAAGCAGTTGGGGTGGTAAACATCGTCGAAGGGCACAATGCATGCGCAGTTCCTTCTGGACTGTATGTTATGGCCATAATTCAACCAACCTCAAGTGTCTTGCTATCCCCTGTCTACATAAATTGGTTTGTAATTATCCTGAATAAATAGCACTTATTTATTCCTAGAATATGAAAGGCACTGTCGATATTGAACGGAACAAAACAAATACTTTCTAGTTGTCCCCTTTGATACAGATTGCCACATCCATGGTCACACCTTAGGCAGGTATGCTGCTTTCCGTTTGTGCCAAGTTTTTGTATTGTGTTGTGTGCGTGTGCAGAAATAATATGTGGAAAGGATCATTTTAGACACAAACACTCTTACACTAACTTACCGGGGGTAAATGAATGCTGGGCAGGAACGTTTGCTTAAACTTGCTGCCAGTGAAAATCTGTTGCATACAGTTTGGTTTGTGGTTTAACTTTTCCCCCTCCTGTTGATTTCAAATGATCTGAAGTTACAAATACGTTTCTGAAGCATAATTCCTTTTCATCTAATTACACACATTAATTCCCCGAAGTAACCTGTCTTCTGGGGGGTAGGTGGGAGTGGGGATAGATTGGTCTTTTAAAGAAAAGCACAGGCGCACGAACTCACAAACACCACACACACTCTCACAGGGAAACCAATGTCTCATCCACTAAAAAGACTCTCTTTTGTTCTCAGGACACAAATGTAACCTGGTTAGACTTGTTTTGTTTGTGCGTGAAGGTGTGAGTTGGCTGGCTGTATGCAAATATTTGCAAGCACTGTTTTTTTTTTTAAAGTTTAATTTTAGAAGATCCAATCAGAATAACAGGAAGTGACCTAAGGGATTCCACAATTGGACAGCTAAGCATTCTAAAACATGTTTTAAAATTAATATCACATCCATTTATCTTCACTGCTACGAGTGAAGTGATAGCCTGCCACCTATGTTTACTTAATAGCTGACATACCTTGACCACTCTTTTGACTTTTTTTCTCTAACTAAAGGATTTCCTCAACAGAATCAGCAGCTAAATGAGGTAAGGGGCTTTTAAATTTGGTCTCTCCTTCAGTTCTTTTTTTTTTTCCTAAACAACCACTAGGATTGAATTTTTTTTAAAAAAATGCTTAAGTACATGCACCGTTTAGGTATGATGATAAATCTTCTATTCCGAAAATGCAGGTGGAATTCTTTGATCAAAAGCTGTTCAGCTTGTAAAAGAATTTGGCTGCCATCCTGCTCTTTGGCAGCTTGGAGTTCAGTGAAATCAGTTAATTTAAAGTATCATAACTATGTGCAAGCTGCAGCGATTTGCTCAGCCAGTAGAAAAGTAGAGCACATTTGGAGTAAAAATGCTAATAACAATAATAATAATATCATTTATTTATCTTGACTTTTGTCTGCTCAGCTCTGATATAGTCACTAAGCTGAAGTAAAATAAGCAAAAGGGAAAAAAGTGACAATTTCTTAAGAGTTGTTTGCTCCTACTAACTCCTGCTAACCTATTAAACTTAGATAGACTGAATTCTTGGATGTTTCTTGATGGCATATTTTTGAATGATGGGCAGACCAGAAGTCAGATCTGTTGAGTTCAACATTGCTTTGAGTTTTCTGAAACATACGAGATGCTAGTTTTAGTAATATAAGAAACTTACATAACCATGGATCAACACCAAATTGTATGTTTGCTTCTCCAATGAAATGTTTGGCAAGGTGGTTTATGGCTCGCATCGCCAACCCTGGAATTACTAATAGCTGTGTATCATGAAATTCTACTAAAACGTTTTCTATTCTGGTATGATCTCAGCCAAAGAAAAAATTCCCGATGATCTTCCCCAGTCTACAGAAAAATAACTCTGGCTACTTTCCTATCAGGTCCATGCTCTTAATTATTTCTACAGCTTTATATACTTCAAGTTTAGGAATTTTAGCAGAATGGAATAACAGCAAAATAGGGACTTAAATTCCAAGTCATTTTAGGGGGTTTGCTGTGGTGTTTGTCTAAGATCCATTTGTATAAGTGCAATTTTAGTTTTTACTTTTGTTTTTGGGTTATTTATGATTATGAAAAGAGCTTGAAGGTACATCCTGTGTGTGCATGTACAAAGTAGATATGCAGTGTAGCAGGCAATGTTTAACATTTTCATTTGAAGTTTAATATTAACCAGAATTCTAAGCCTGATAATTTTTATTGGTAGTTAGGAAATAATTTCTATTAAAGAGATAGCAGAGGGAATGTTGATTTTAATGCTACATAAACTGAAGATAGATAAATGTCTTTGGCAACCATATCAAACTGAAGGTGATCTATTCCTTTCCTGAATAATATTTTTTACACATTGCTATGATAAAAAAAGGAAAACAGAGTCGGCTACCAGTTATTTTTACCTTGTGCTAAAAATTCTTATTGCGTTTTCCCCCGTCCACTTGGCCCAGATCCTCTGTGCGCTTCGTTGGAAGTTAGTCCATTCAGCACAATCAGATTCACTTCTGAACCAAACTAAAAGAAAACCACTGCAATAAATTACTATTTGCTTTTAAAAAATTAAACATAAGTTGTTCTTTCTTCTTTCTATCCTTTCTACAGTTCCCTTTTTACATTTTTCTATAAATTATAAGAGAAAAAGATAAACATTTTACATTAAGAAATGCCTACAAGTACTTAATTGCACATAACAGATATGCTTCCATTATATTTTATATGTTGCCAAAAGTAGTGTTCAAATATTAAAATACTCTACTATGTTATTGTTATAAAGGGTGGCTGATACTACAGTGAGGTAAAAATATAAAATTGTTTACAAACAGGAGTTCACATCATCTAGAAATGTGACATATCTATCTATCTATCTATCTATCTATCTATCTATCTATCTATCTATCTATCTATCTATCTATCTATCTATCTATCTATTTTCCTTGGAAGTATAATTTTCCTTTCCCATATATCAAAAGTATATGCTTAAGATATAGAAAAGTGCTAGGAAATATTAGAACTATTGAGACAGAGAGCTTTCTTTGTGTTCTCCAACATAATTACAAAAGCTGGATATAAGGAGCTGATCAGATGGTGATAGTCTACCTAATTTCCTTGCATATGTTGCAATTTTTATATACAGAAAGTGGCAGTATTAGATTGTGATATGAGAAAGCCATTTCTATTCCATTAGGTGTTTGTAAAACATTGCAATTGAGGACATGTAGTGAAGCTTCTTACTTTTGCAATTTACTTAATCCAAAGGATTATACAAATCCCCCAAAAGGCCACCAAAACAGACAGACAGACAGACAGACAGACACAGACAGACAGAGTAATTGTACTTCTTGCATGAATTCATCATTCCTTCAAAGAGATTCAGAGGGAATCTAAGCTATGTTTCTATACAAATCCCTTGAAAGAATTCCAATCTGACACCTTCTAAGAACTAGAATTTGAATTTTCATATACAAATGTAAACTTTTATCTAACCTATTAGAATTTATTTCAATTGACTGAGCACAGGGTAGGTGAAAATAACTTAAGTTCAACCAAAGAATTAAGACCTATTGTAGATTTTTCTTCTGAATAATCATTTCTAGCATTGCTCTGAAAAGCAACATTCTTAATTATTATGGAAACCAATGTAATTAAACTGATTTATAGTGTTGAGTCTTAATCGATGATACCTGTGTATCTCAATAGTCTGTGTATCTCAATGCACAGAAATTTGGTAAAATTAGTTTTCTTATTCTTTATAATTGAGTGTGAACTCCACTTGAACTTTCTTTTCACAAAGAATTGACTTCTCTGTCTAAATACAGGGAATTCACATGGGGCACTGGAACATAGAACACATAATTATTTTAAGACGAATTATATCTCTATTTTCCAGCAAACATAGCTTTCTCTAAGTAGTCAATTTGTGTAGTCAGCATTTAAAGGCACAAAGTAAACAACATTAAATTAGATGTAGAAGTTGACATCATACACAACAACAGATGTTAACTATGCTAATAATAGCTTCATTGCTAACTAGAATTCTTTTAAAATGAAAGCACTTGACTCTATGAATGTGAGACATTTCTTAAAACTCCTTATTTTATTCAGGTTTGTATTAAATTATATCATCCTGGCATATAAAACAGTTTAGTTCCAATAAATATGGATTGGAGTTTTTTTTTTCCACTTCCAAACTTCCAGTCCAGCTTAAGGTTGATTTATCCCACTCTTTATGCAAGCCTCTCTCTTTTGATGTTATCCATGAAATGAATACAGTCACTATACTGTATGAGTGGAGGGTGTTTATATTTTGTGGGTCAAGAGGACGGCAGCATTTAAAGATCTAAAGGCTACAATGATGAGACATATCATAGACTTATTTCTGTCATGGGTAGTAGCTTCGTATACATAGAAAAATATGTAATGTAACAATGTTTCAATCTGAACTGGATACTTGGGACCACATTTCTGTATTAGAGTATTCTATTAAATTAGAAATCCCGTAGGAAAGTTAATGCAGCACAACTTTTCTTCCTAAGTGAGATCTAATAAATAGAGTGTTCAATTGCTCCATCTATCTATAAACAAATTTAAGCTAAAGGTACTAGTTTTTTAAAATTAAATTATTAAAATATTGTATGTAGGGCTAATCTATTACATAGCAGTAGACTCTATTTTGCATAAAAAGAATATCTGATTCAATTTGAGGTGTTTCAGATGAGAACATGGACATTTTTTGAAGAGCTACTGATACATAATTTTCCAGACTCTAGGCACTATAAAATAAAACTGATAAATAAATTAAAATATGACAGGTATTTTCCCAGATCATTGATTCTCATTGGGTTTTGGTCATTTTTCCTCTGAAATATTATAAGAAGCTGTTAAAAATCTCAGGAGATGTTATGGGAGGACACAGTGATGGGATTCAAATATGTGAACAACCAGTTCTCTGTGTGGATGCCGCTTCCAGAAGTCCATTCTGAGCCTGGGCAATAAAAAATTAGCTACCGGTTCTGCCGAAGTGGTGCGAACCGGCTGAATCCCACCACTGGGAGGACACTGAAATCTCACAGGATTTTATGTGAACATCAAAAACCAGGGGGATTTTGTGATCCATAAATTATTGAGTATTTATTAATTCCTAAACTTAATTCTTGATTGTACTTATATTTGGCACCTGTGGAAAAAATCTGTCTGATGTAGACCACAGTGCACTACATGGTTGATGATCTGATTCAACATATAAAAAATTGTTTTCTGAAATTTGTGATTTTCCTAGGTAATTCTCAGCCATTGTTTTATTATGGCATTTAAATAAGACATCTATTGTCTTACCCTATGTTTGTGTGATCTGAGATAAAAAATAAACAATAGTTCAGTTATAGCTCTTACTCTGTCATAATAGTGATGCATACTCTAGTTTGAAGAAAGAAGAGGAATCACAACTATATTATTAAGTATTTTGTAAAAGTACTGGAAGCCCTAATAAAGTAAAATTTAGTAACCATTCTTAGCTATAAAAGAAATCTAGGCAAACTTGGTACAATTTGCATGAATATAATTGAAATAATACTATGGTATATTATACTAAGTATAGTGAATAAATCATCCCATAACTAAATCCCAACATGGTACAAAATATAGAACACGTAGGTTACATATTTGTTTATTAGACAAACAATTACATATTAAAAATAAAATTAGCAAATGAATAGACTAATTGGGTTCTCTGTATTAATATTCTATAATGTCATAAAGACAGAGACATTTTCATAGATAACTTTACAGCATTCAATGTGCTATTTAGGAACTAGCATTGACTAGCACTGATGATGTTACCTAGTTAGAGTAATGAAACATCTGCAAGAAAACAAGCAAGCTCAGAGAGCACCAAGGACCCCCTGTTGAAGAGTTGCATCCCAAATTATGCAAGTACCAAGTTCCTAACTCATATGCAACAAGGCTTCTTGTTGGTTCTGCACAGTATCAAGATCTGTTTTATGGAGTGTGGGGTTGAAGAACAAAAGAAAAATCTGTTCCATTGATGAATGCCATTC